AAAGGTCCCTAATTTATTAACATGGTTTCACGATCTTAGTTTTCATTCATACAAAAGTTTTGTATAATTTGATCAAACGTTAATGTTTCTACTACAGTTCTAGTGTAGCATGATCAATTAGTAATTTTTTGCTTTTTAACTTTTACACAAAAAAATTAATTTGACAAAAGAAAGTACACACTAGGATTGATCATGATTGATCCATTGGTCATAATAATAGGATTGATAACAATGACTTTAGTAAGGAAACAGTAACCACACTTGTTTTGAATTGTGGTATTATTGACACCTGATAAAGTTTTGCAAAGCATACGTAGAGGCAATGTAATATTCCGTGTTCTGCATAATTCAATTGAAACCATTGACCACAGTAGAAAATATAGTTCAAATATTATGTTAAGGACTAGGTTTTTCCGTTGCACTGGAGGCGATCGAACAAAAGTTAATAAGCTTGATGTGCTGTTGATTGTAGATAGTTTTTGTTTTAACAAAAAAAAACGAACACAGTTAATGAAAGATCGGTTAAATAGGTTAGCGGTATATACATCGTTTACTCTCATGTGAAGAGTTTTGTTTTATTGGTTTGGTAAGTTTACAATTTATATTACCGGGTGACACTACTCATAAAACCGGACTCGGGGTTGAAATCTAGCGACCCGATTAAAAGCTGCTATGATGATTTGGTAGATAAAGGGACAGTTTTTTAAACTTATCTTCGCGATCTATTTACTGTATTATTATTCCGGAATATTGTTTTAAATAAATTTATTTAGATTGTAAACAAGAATCAATGAATTGGTGGTTGTATGCAACATGCATAACCGACCAATCGATCTTAGAAAATTAGCTGTGTCGTAACATCCTAAACCTTGGTACAACTTCGATGTTCGTAAATTAAATAAATTTTTAATTATCTGCCTATAAAAACATGAGTCAAGTATATCATGAAATAGGTACTAGCTCATTTTTTCTATTGTCAATCCATCTACTGGACTAAAGAACCTGATTAATTTAAGTATATGCACTGACTTTACCAGTCTACTAAACATGCAAATGTTGCGATTGAGTATTGAAATTTACTTTGTCTTTTCTCTTAACCCAATGTATCAGTTAGTCATAAATTAGGTAGAAACATCAATTTACATTTTACTTTAATATGTCCTTAAAATCAAAATGAAGTTTGGATTCTGGCAGGGCGTGTGCGAGGTAGGCGTGGCTTTGCTCCGCCCAACGAGGGCACGCCCTCGCCCTTTTCCACCTTTTCCCTGATCTGACAGCGTTATGTACCTAAGATATTACAAAGACTGAACAATTAAGAATACCCTGTACAATTTTTTATACCTATCGATCATTTAAACATCACCAAACTTGTTAATTCAACTTTTTAGGAGAGTTTAAATAATGTCCTTCTACTTACCTGTAAATTTAAAAACAATACGTTAAGCAGATAAAAAGTAATTTAAATTATAAGAAAAGTTATGTAGTATATTGAGCAAAAAAGTAAACTCAACTTCGAAGTTATTCGGATGTCAGTAATAAGTTTACGTTTATTTCTCTGTTTTAAACCGTTTTGTAAAAAAAAAGTAGAATTGATCATATTTAGAGGTTGATAGAGAAAGAGATGAGCATCGCGGAGGTCGCAGCCCGCGGGGCAGATAAACTCGTTAGAGCAAGATACACCAACCGCGGGACGACAACGCGAGCGGGAGCTGCACGCCAGTATCCCCGTAATCTTGTTGACTCCCCCGGCCTTGTCGATCCTGATTCCCCTAAATTACCTTTTGTACTCCACGACAATCGAATTGTTAACCGTCTAAAATGTTGTTCTCTCAATTTGTTATATCTATCTACTAGTTTTGTTTGTAGAACAAACAATGCTTGAAAAGATATTAAATGCGAAGGTGTCGCTGTGTTAACAGAAGCACGTAGCACGTAGCGTCGTCGTCGCCACTAAAAGCTTCTTGTTGACGCAGCGTTTGGTTTGAGAGGCACAGCTCCTTTAAGATCTTGCCCTTGTAATTGATTGCTTTGTCGTATAATTTGTTTGCCGTCGTTGCGCCGGCGGGCGGAGCGTGCTATCCTCGCGGGAGCAACGCGGTGCTCGTCCTCTCGTCATCGTCTCCGTAAATAATAAATTCTACTCGCCATCGACCCGTTCGCGCGCTCTTCGTGACTCAGCATCTACTTGTCGTGCTGTGTTGATGAATCGCACTTGCTTAATTGCTACATTACTCATATTTTATTAAAAAGGTGGATTTCTGTGTATGTGTGCACTGTTATACATTTAGTAAAGTGTCAATAGGTACCTACCTACTGACACTTATTGCATGTTTAACAGTGCACACATACACAGAAATCCACCTTTTTTTAAATCTAGGTAGATATGTTTCAAAGTTTAGGTAATGTGCGGATGAACTGTACGTGAAAGCAGGTATTGCGGATAGGGTTAGTAATAGCAGACGAACGTTAGGTGCGCGTTCCGTCACTAATAACCCCGTAATTGGTATCGAAGCTCGCCGCAGCCGGATTACTGAGCGTCTAATTGAATGCGAGACGTTCCTCGCCACCACCACCTTGTAGCGACACAGGCGACTTAATTTTGTTGCGGTCAAGTTGCTCTGTTTTGCGCACGTGCGCGACCCGCGCTCAATTACGCCACCCTGGATGAATTAAATTGCTGTGCTGCATGCAGCGTGTTATGACTGCTACCGCCGTTGTCGGTCGTGAAGAGAGATCAAACGCGACCCCATCCCCGCCTGGATTTACCTCGAAAGTTACGACATCTGATAATAATTTCGTCTCAATTAGCTAATGAAAAATAGAATAGGCCTCGGGACGTAGCGCTGATGTAATTAAAATTATGGTGAACATTCGACGCGTCTGTTTTCAGAGTAGCTTGTTACAACGTATTAAGATTGCTTTAGAAATATTTTATGCATTTTGATTCACGTAGGTCGGTTTGGAATTGTCGAGAAACTTGTTAAATTTCATTTCATTAAACTGCAACATTTCTATGTTGCATTAAGATTTAGTTCCTACCATTGAATTCTTATCACCGTTTTTTTGTTTATTAATGTTTCAAAATTCGCAAAGCAAAACGAAACACTGAAATTATACTACACAGAAGCCACTTCTGTTCTGTATTTTTCTCTATACTCCATCATTAAATACAAGAATAGTTGTAAGTACAAACACAAAAAATATTTTTTTAATATTCAAGTTCAAGAAAAGTATTAACAATTTTTTAATTAAAATGTATTATATTTATAAAGATATTATTCAATCATTATACTTTTTTTTTGTAAGAAAACTTAGGAACATAAATTTGACATCGTTTTGAAATTTGTCTCCTACTAAATATAGTATTGATAGCTTCGGTGCGCCAGGTACTACTACTATATTTAAGAAAAATGCGCGTGGAAATTGTGCAAAGAGCAATTTTATAAAAAGTAAAGAATGTAGTGTTAGTGTACAGATGCTATGTATGAATCAGTATTGGGCGATAGGTATGGCAGCAGGTGGGAAGCAATAGACCCGTCATATGCGGCACATTCATGGATTCACTATGCTTGAGTGTTTACAGTGGTCGCGCGCGCTCAGAACTCTGGATACACGCCAACTAATATCTTCCCAACAGGTAAATGAAGTGTTCGCGCTCCCGATGACATCATATTTTGTGTTCTACAGTGATTCATCTCTTTCAAAATAGTCTAGTCTCCCATGGAAATATTCACAACGTTTCTAACGTAGCAACTGCAGGTGACCTTTATTATTAAACATTGTTCAGTCGAATTTAGTAATCATTTCTGAGGATCATAGGAGATCTAGGAATCATAGAAGCTGTGTTTTGGCTACAGACATCAAACTGTTCAGCTGTAACTCAGTATTGAAACCAATGCGGTCGTACTTACAAATTCTGGAGGATGAACAGCAAAATGTACATTGTGTGCCTGTATCGAGTCTATAATTTTGTCTTTATCCCTTATTCCATATTGGAAAATCATTTTGCTAATGATTCAAACAGTGCAATCAGACGAATGAGATCATTATCCTTACCGTTATTACAGAGCAGAGATAAAGCGTTGCAACACCAGCACGTGGACCATCTGGTGCAGCAATTGTGTCACCCTAACACATGAGAGTTTCAGCGCTCCGAAGTGCAGTGCAACACGAAAGACTTCCTGTGATAGATAGACATGCTAGGAATGCTCTGATTCTGAAAGTGTTTTTGTTTACAGCCTGGCAACTGGTTTACAAAATATAATTATAAAAATAAATGGCTAATAAAATATCTGATACATAAGTTCAAATTACATACCTACAAGAGTCAATGAAGGCTGAAATGATCTCTGTATATTTAAAAATCAGATTAAAAAAAATTCATAATCACTTCATTGATATTAATTTCTAAATGGTAAGACACACGAGATGAACAGAAACTTTTACATCGTTCTTTTCTGAGCAGTACTCGCAGTACTCTGTATATATACAGGGAGATTTTACTGTAGAAAATTTTTATATGCAGAAAAGGTAGCCGTTAGCATTGTAGCAAGTGCATCAGACAGCAACGGGGTTTGTTATTAACTTTTTAAACGATTGCGTTAATTAGCGCTTCACGGGAACCTTGGGGCACCGCCGCCGGCTGGCCAACGCGCGTGAGGCAAAAAACAATACATGATACGTTTTCCCATTTTAATTAATTTGCTATACGACTCTTTGTTACAAAGTTTGCGTGCTCATGACGAGTCTTGTTGCAAAAAATTGGTCGTAATGATTTTCGTTAGATTATTTTTTGTGTATCGATACATACAGAAACGTGGCTAGCTCTCTGGAGCAATTAAAAAAAGATACTGGCCCGCGGCACCCCTTACACTGTCACGTGCCTGTACAACGCCACTGATAATGCTGTGTCAGTCGCTGAGTACTGGTCATCACAAAATATAAACGTCTGAGTCGACACGCTAAGAACAAGAAAATTAAGTTCTTTCTGTTTGTTTCAGCAATTGTTCCGATCGCAGCAGGCGGCAGCGGCAGGTGGGCAGGCGGCGGCGGCACAGCTCCAGCTGCTGCAGCAACAACAGCAGCAACAGTTCCAGCTACAACAACAGCTTGCTGCACAACAGGCTTTTACACAAGCACCGTATGTCATTAACGCGGGACAAGAGGGCACGCCTTACATGAGCGCACTGATCGCTGGCGTACCTCCCTATTACGGTGTAGCGGCACCCTGGGGCGTGTACCCAGGGTTGGTAGCGCAGCCTGCACAACAGCAAGCGCAGCAGCCGCGACGGCCTTTGACACCGCAGCAGGGCGAGCAGCAAGTAAATGGACAGGGCCAGTATGTGATCCCGTACTATGACCCCGGATCGCTGGTTATGGGTGGCCGTAATGGAACACCGCTTCGGCTGGTGTCACCTGGCGGGGTGCTGGCGCCTCGTACATATCAACCCGCGCCTACACACCCTGCCGCCACAGCTGCGCCGCCCGCGCCAGCACAACCTCAGCCGCAGCAACCTCAACCCGGTAAGTTCTTAGAGTCAAAAACCCTTTCTTTTTTTAAATATTGGTAATCGGTTCTAAAGTCTGTTCCAATCCATAGACAGTTTAGTTGATTATTAGTTGATGACCAACTGTACTGTCAACTACAAACCGATTAATTAATTGAATGTATCAATTTGTTTAATTGAATTAGTTGGAATAACTGGGTTTTATATAATATAACGGGTTTTGCGATTTCGCTGCTGATTGCTATAAAAAAATATGTGATTCTATACTTTTTTTTTACGTACCCTGTAAAAGCACATTTAAAATCTGCGAAATCTAATTTTAAGTCCTTACACTTAGATATTCGTTCGATTGTGATTAAATTTTCGATTCATTAATCGATTACAAAAACTAATTGAACGAACTTAATAAATTATTTCCATACGGCCCTATGCAACCGTAGACTATTCGCAAATCTATATTTGAAAAATAACCTCTTTTGAACTAACATTTTTCAAATAACAGTTATTAAAATGAATATTGCTGGTAAAAGTGATGAGATATCAAGTTGAATTCTTCAAAATGTACGTGAAAGTGTTTTTGACTCTATTTATTGAGCGATTGCTTTAGAATTTTAACCAAACTGGTTTGTTTACTTTTCTGGTATAGTGGATTGGAACAGACTATAATTCAATAGTGGCTCCTTTTTTGTTCTGAAAAAAAAAATGTAATTCATTGCGATAGTTCATATAAAAGGAACATTAGGATATTCAAATTAATTAATTGTTTAATGTAGAAAACGTCATTATTATTTTTGTTCTGACTTTGTATACAATTTTGGATTGAAATAATAAGAGCACTATTATCGAGCAAATCTCTGAAGCAGGGTTTAGGATTTGTTGTATTTTGTACAAATAAGACTTTACAATACAAACAAATGAGTACCTACGGTACTAAGTACTTAAAATAGTTTTTTCATACGACATTAACATACTATTTCATGTTTAAGCAATATGCTCGTAAACTGTTATTCAATACTTAGTAGTAGATAGAATGTACTAATTCAATATCATATTATTTTACAGTATTCACTTGTAGATGTGTTGTTACATAATTCGAAAAGACAGCTTAAATAAAGCGTGGGTTGAATGTTCGTAAATAGACTCAGGTACGCGTCTCAAGTTTATCATTTCTTGAGTCGCGTACTACTCCGCTTCAATTTTCATGTTGCCTTCAAAATTTCACGTGTGATGGCTAATTTTTTTGTACTTTGTAGTTAGATTGAATATTTATCATTTATTGAATACATTAATTAACTTCCCTGTACATATATATACGAATGTCATTATGCCCTCTTTATCACTATTGCTGTTCAACATTGGAATAGTCATAGTGTTGTTTCTTAAAATTAGTTTTTTATTCAAATTAATAAACAACGGTGCTTATATATAATTATCACTCCTAATTCTGAAAGTAATATTCAAATAACACGTTAGCTTATTTAACAGCAAACATTAACTAAACCGATAAGTGGCTTGTCGTTATAAAATCTCAATACTAATCTCCACCACAATTGCGTTGTTCTTATAAGCACTTTTGTTTTATTTTGAAATTTTTCAAAAGTACATTGTATAATTATAAGAAAGGACAAGTTTCATGAATTCATTGTACTAGATAGTTATTGTATGAGATATTTGAAATTAATAAACAGAACAACGAACAATGTACCAATGAAATTTGCATGAGATTTGTCAGAAACATACTGTGAATATCTTGCTGAAACGTACTTTTAGAATTGTACATAGACACATATGTGTGTTTTGCGAAGTCGTGTACAGATTAGAGAGTACGTTAGTTTGAGGACGGGGACACTGGGAAGGGAGATAGGAGAGCGTGGAGAGTGGCGTAGGAGAGGCTGGCACAGCACAGGTACGGTTGTTGCAGGCGGCGGAGCGGGGGCTCGGCGTGATTCGCTAGAATTTGGTGGCTCCGCCGGTGCGCTGCAGGAGTACGCACGCAAGTGGGGACCTTCGCCGCTGTCACCGCCACTGGGCGCCGCGCTAGGGCCCGTCGGCCTGCGGCCTGTCTCTGCCGCGCCCGGCGCTGAGACCGCCAAGTACAGGTGCACACATATCTCCTACATCACACACTGGCCACAGTCGTCAAAGTGCCCACCGTAAACCGATGCGAACTTCCAATAGTGCCCAACGTCGACTGATGCGAACATTCTATAGTTCACACACCTTCACCTCCAGTTCACAATCTTGTCACTCACAAAACCTTAACTCTGTTCTCGACACTATTTTCTTTTTTCTAACCTAGGTAAGTAAGTATTCTTATTGCCTTCGCGTGACTTAAACTTCAAGAGTCAATATTGATTAACTGACATGCTCTCTTAGGTCTATAGGCGGAATACCTGACTCGCGTGGGAAAGTACAGTGGAATGAAAGAAAGCTCCGCTTGGTGCCCTCTGTTGGACTGTGCAACAAACAGGCAATAAGCACTTCATTGTCTTGGATCGTGCGCTAGACCTATCCATTCTTCAAAATTAATAAGTAGTAGCACTCGAAGAGTAAATGAACTTTGAGTAATGTATTAACATTACAGTGACGCGATCGGCCCGGTGGCTACCCATTCCGACTGTGTTCTTTGTAAATACATAACATAATTTGTATATGAAATTATCTTTGTTGACCATGTACAGTGTACCGATATCGCCTTGTTAGCATGCACATTTACTTTCATAATTCGCATCCGCATCGTTACTAACGAATGTGCATATTCTTGAATATTGGTGTGTTTTTATTGCAGAGCTGTCAGCAGTTTAGCACAAGGTCTCACGTCAAATGGCATGTTCGGGTCATCATCCTCGTTACTAAGCAAACTGAGTGGAGTGGGCACTATCTCAGGTTGGTATTGAACACCTTGTAAATATGTATATACTCACATCACAAATGGCATGTACATTTTGTATGCTTGTATTAAAATTAACATGTAATTGCATATTGACAATTTTCTTGTATACACAAATTTGGTACGAACTATTTGTTTAAAATACGTGTGATCGTTCAATACATGACAATCTATATTCGTAATATAATTTAAGAGGTTTAAAATCACATTTGGTCGATTCGAGTCGCATTACTTACATAATAGATTGACCTACCACCACCTAATCAGCTAAACTGCAAAATCCTGCTTGGAGTTATGGTGCGGTCGCGGTCGCAATGCTGTAGTAGGTACAATGCGGTGCCCTTTCGTATAATAAATTTAATTCTGTAATTAATACTGTCGTACTCTAGTTTTTATACTCATTTATTTCAAGTAATTAAAACTATAATTCTGGAATAGACTATCCTTTGTAATGGTTTAATTTTTTTTTCTACAGGTATTTTATTTTTTTATATATATTATAGTTTGCCTTCACGTCTCGTGTCGTTATCAGTCATCCTCTGATAATTCTCAAAAAATAAACGTGTACGATATTAATACATTTTTATAAGATTGTATTTCAAGATTTGTCTGTGGATGTTCAGATAGCCAGTAAGCCAGAGTCCTATTAAGCTACATACTTACTTGGATACATAGGCATTTTTTAATAATGTCTGATATATTACACGTTCTGATTTCCCTCAACCTTTGTGAAGTGGTTTTTGAACGATGGTTTGTTTTGCAGAATTGGTTGGTGGCGGTGTGGGTGGGGTCGGAGGCGTGGGTGGTATGGGTGGCGTGGGCGGAGTTGGCGTTGGTGTGGGTGGCGTTGGCGTCGTGGGTGGCGCGTTGGTCAGTGATAAGCCACCTACCGGCCGCAGCCGCCTGCTGGAAGACTTCCGTAACAATCGTTTCCCCAATTTACAGCTGCGTGATCTCGCTAACCACATCGTAGAATTCTCACAGGACCAGCATGGATCCAGGTACTTTCTATAGAAGCAGTGTTAAACATTAACTCTCCAAAATTGCAGTTGATAATATCATGCTCAAACTTGTCCATTCCTTCTTCAATCAGCTAATGTGTATCAATCGGCACATTTAGCAGAACAAAAAAGCGAGAATATAAAATAGTAAGTTTTATATTTAAATAAATAACTTGTCTACAAATAGCAAACATTAGCGTTTTCTTAGAATTTGTGACAAAGTAACTGCTGAAAATTTATAAATTGTAATAGTTTAACATTCACTAAAGTCAAGTTTTAGTAAATATTTGCATTGTAAATTTCAAGTTCCTGTAATAGTAGAAAATGAAAGCAAATGAATGAAGAATTTACAGGCGACTAATTTTTATTTTCAAATTAGACCCAAAATAAAAAAAGTATTTGCTGGTTGTGTGTATTTGTCACACAGCGTGATCACACCTATTTAGCGGCACGACACTGTTGTTTTTCGGCTATTAAACAATAAGGAGTGTACCACAACTGGCTAGTAATTTATCTAACGTGCTCATCGTGTACACAAACCTTATGATCAACAAGATCTATCTTTACATACTGTCGACATGGAGCTACTGAAAAAAAAAAAGATAGATACAAAGTGTCTTTATTTTTTATAGATTCATTCAACAGAAACTGGAAAGGGCCACAGTTCAGGAGAAACAAATGGTATTCAACGAAATAATTGGCGCTGCGTACAGCCTCATGACAGACGTATTTGGAAACTATGTAATACAAAAATTCTTTGAATTTGGCACGACTGAACAGAAAACGACGTTGGCACAAAAGGTATGTACTATGTGTGTGTAACATAAACTACGCGGGCGATGTAGTGTTTTTTTTTAACATTTTAGAATTATTTGTAATGTATGCATTAGAATATAATGTATACGTGATAGTTACTGCTGACCCAACATTTACATAATGTCAATAAACACTACAATAGCTCAAATAGAGAAATGACTATCCTTTCGTCTTGCCAAGAATTTGCTTTACTATTAAAACACTTGATTACTAGGTCCGAGGGCACGTTCTCGCGCTAGCGCTGCAAATGTACGGATGCCGTGTGATACAAAAGGCACTAGAGTCCATTCCCGCCGAACAGCAGCAGGAGGTGGTGCGTGAGCTCGACGGACATGTGCTTAAGTGCGTCAAGGATCAGAATGGAAATCACGTCGTAAGTACCGAATTAGAATTAAACTATTGCTACGGTACTGCACCTTTCTACATTAAGTTACCTTTTTTAAATTTTTAACTCATTTGATTAGTAATTCGTTACATTGTTATTGTGGTTCCAGGTACAGAAATGTATTGAGTGTGTGGAGCCATCCGCGCTGCAGTTCATAATCAACGCATTCGTGGGGCAGGTGTACGCACTGTCGACTCACCCGTATGGCTGCCGCGTAATCCAACGCATCCTCGAGCACTGCACGCCCGAGCAGACTGCACCAGTTCTTAGCGAGTTGCACGCGCACACCGACCAGCTCATACAGGTATAGTGTACCTGTAATTTTCTACATTATTGAGAGACATATATTTGAAAGATATTGTAACTGTCCTTTTCAAGAATTACAATAACATATCGTTGTCTACGTGTTAATAGGACCAGTACGGCAACTACGTGGTGCAGCACGTGCTGGAGCACGGTGCGGCTGAGGACCGTGCGCGTCTAGTGGCAGGCGTACGTGGGAAGGTGCTCCAGCTTTCGCAGCACAAGTTCGCCTCCAACGTAGTCGAGAAGTGCGTCACGCACGCTACGCGCAATGAGCGCGCGCTACTCATTGATGAACTCTGTGGCTTTAATGACAAGTTAGTATCCAATATCCAATTATTCCTTCTCAAGGCGTTTGTATGGAAATCGACAATCCAAAATGTGAAACAAACTAAAAATTAACTTTTCCATTTTATTATAGTGCCCTACACGTGATGATGAAGGATCAATACGCAAACTATGTGGTCCAGAAGATGATTGACGTAGCAGAGCCGACACAGCGCAAAGTGCTGATGCACAAGATACGGCCCCACATCGGGTCACTGCGCAAGTACACGTATGGCAAGCACATCATCGCGAAGCTGGAGAAATTTTTTATGAAGGCACCGGAGCTGGGCCCCATCGGGCCTCCGCCGCCTAACCCCGTGTTGTAGTCTGTATAAAGTATTAACGCCCGAACGCCGCACACGCCGCACGCCGCACAGCTGATGCGACGGCGCGGGTATCCCCGCCTATTATAAATTTGTGAATATTTGCGATTGTACATTTGTAACTATAGAGCTCGCCGCGTCGCCACCCGCCGCTCGCCGCCCGTCGGGCGATCTGATTAGGTTAGTTGCACCGTCGTCTGTGTCTGTAATGTAATGTAAGCGTGTCTGTATTGCATGTGCAAACGGGCGCGGGCGGCGGCGGCGGAGCGCGCCTGTACATACTGCGACACTGCGGCAGACTGATGTACAGACCTACGATACGATATACTGTATACTGTAACAATAGTTGTACAGCGTCGACGCCGATTACGGTGCTCGGCCGTCGCGTCATCGCGGCGTAGCGTTAATTGCGTTTATAGTTGTTAAGTGTTCTAGTATTATTCGTTGTTCGTATGAATCTATGTATAAATATTTGAACGTCTCTCATTCTCGTGTAATTTATGAATCGAAGGGGAGCGGGCCCGAACGGTCGCGCTCGCCCGTAATTTAGCTCGTTGTAGATTTACTATTAGCTGGGCTAGGGGACCTTGAATCTTCGAAGTGATGAAGGGAAATGCCACAGGCAGTTCTAGACAATCGGCACTATAGTCGTGATTATATTATTATTTTGTACTATTCTTCAAGTCAAGCTCTCGTTTAAGTTAAAAAGACCGGCTTTAAAATCGTACATAGTTATCGAATATAGCTTAGTGCCGGAGTGTATAGTTTGTCGATTTTAATTTTGTGAAAATGATATTTTTGTATATTTTTATGTAACTTAAGTTATTTAGTTTAATGAGCCTCCGAGAGTATCGGAGCGAGCGCTTATCGAGTGGGATGCTTATGTTGTAGCGAGGCGCCGTGCGGCCCTTAGGTTATAGTGATGATTGTAAAGTCCTGTACTGATAGTTGTAGTCCGAGGTCTACCTTGCCGGTTGCACGTCACAAGCGTAGCTGCTCCTCATTCCCCTGTGTAATTAATTTTTATAGGAAGCGTAGTTTCCTACGACACCTCAGATTTTTTACGTCTAGATGTAATTGAAAATAAAATTATTGTATATGGCTGTACAAAAATGTTAACAAAATGATTTGTAAAACCTGTATGTGATGGAATAGGACGGGGCGGCGGGAGCGACGAGAGCCGCAGCTCCGGCCGCTGCGCCCGTAGGTTGTACTAGATAACATTTATATGATGATCCATCTATTTAGACATTAATTATAATAAAGCATTTCTGTAATAATATTACAAGAAATCCGTTGTTTTATTCATACCTGCATTATTTATTACACCTTTAATCCTTACAACTCGTCCGCAATAGTCGCGTGAACATAGTGTAGTACAGTATAGTAGTGTGTGGGTAATTTTCTGAAAAATTTCAAATGGAAATTTGTTTCGAGAAGTCTGAAAAATATAATTCGGGGGCTCATATTGTGTTCTACGTTTACGTGTATCTTTTACATAACCTTTTAAGCATAATTATGACACTGGAGACGCTATAAGCATTTTTTCTCAAAACTGCTATTCTGAGGGGCGGAAGGGTAGTACTGCAAGCAAACAGGTGCGTTCAAATGTAATATCGAGGTATCACTGTGGTGGCACACAAACAAAATTCGACAATTCTAGCTTACTTTGTTTACGGAGTTTGGCGTAGACAACGTAATTCACTAAGTAGTCTGTGGTGGAGACCACCACGGTGTACTGACGTTTCCGTGTTTCTTCCTGTTAAAAACCATCGTATCTTTACCTCCCGCTTACAGAAATTTGTCTGTGCCGTGTCTCGCACGATTGGTTCACTTAGTGTCATCACTGTTACAACTATGTTGAGGGTCACCTTACGGTGGCCCTCAACATAGTTGAACAGTGTCCGCGCTGTGTCTTTTTAACTGGTTCGTCTAAAAACATCGGACCCTCCTACTCGCGCTTATTACTGGAAGACATAAGGTGGGAGACACCTCGGGGATTTGTGAGTGAGACAAGACTAGTCACCTGCTACATGCCATAGACTGCGTAGACGTTAGCTACAGCTTCCGTCATCACTCAGACCTACTCTTTATACTAGGTGCTCACTGCACGTATTCGTAACATATTTTATCATACACTCCGCTACCAAATGGCTTGGAATGCCTCTGAAACGCACTCCTCCATTTAATTCTGCCTTGCCAGATCCTAGTAACTCGATTGTGCTAAGCAGAGCTAAATCAGACCAAGACATCTCCGGACCTACTGAAACTCCATCGTCTGTAAGTAACCGTATGTTTTCATTAATAACTCTACGCTCCAAAAGGCCACGATCTGAAGTTTCTCCTCTTTGGATCACAATGGAGAACTTTAGGGCTGAAATGCGGGATATGATGAAATCGTTGATCACGGAACAACTGCCCATGCTTTGTCGCCTATCTGAAGATGTGTCTGCAATTAAACTTCAAAATGACATATTCAAAGTCCAACAAAGAAATTGAGAACTCTATAGACTCAATTAAAAAAAGCTGCGCTGAGCTTAATAACAGGATAAATAAAATCGAAAAGGATCGTAACGACTGCCGAAATTGTTCATTGAACTAAGAAAAAAAGGTAGAAAGTTCCAAATCTTATGTTGCAGCGGTTTCCGTATACTATCGTAAATATCCTCTACCGCGTTATATTTCTGTTTGTACGTCGAGTCTTCGTCTTGAAGTATGTAGTCATGCCCCCAGTTAGCCTTTTCTATTTGACCCCATTTCATTTTCAAAGTGTTTAAGTTGTCTTCCAGCTCCCATTTCTCCATAGTTGTGTCTAAGTTAATTTTGTCCACAGTTCGTTCAAACGTTTTAAAGTTGCAGTATTGTTGACGCAAAAGTTCTCTCTTCTTCTCTTCGGACCCGCCAATTGCAGGGGGCGGGACATGAAATTCAACGTCGTTAAAGTTAAACTTTGATTTCACATTCCCAACGTCTTTTGTGGGAGTAGTTCCCGTCGGAGGCTTAGATTCCAGCTCTGCCTTTCGTTTCAGCATGTCTTGCAACATTTTCTCGTACATAACTTTAGTTTTAGTGTAAATATCATCCTTAAAGTATTGGGTGTCAAGTCTCCGGTCTCTTCAATAACTTGGTGAGTGCGCACAAACAATTCCCACTGCTTGTTGAGCCGTGGGAGACGTTCGTCTAAGTAGATCAAAGTTTTTCTTGCAGAGCTATCTTTCGCTTAGTTGTTACATAACGTCTTCAGTGCATCAAAGTTATTTTCTTGTACAGTAATTAGTTCCTTGACGCTCGGAGCCATCGTTGTAGTAAGTTAGTAAAAAAGTAGATAAGAGTAGATAATTAATTCGTAGAGTAAGTATAAGTAGTAGTTAGATGTTAACCGTCGGCAGGTGTAGTGCGATGAATTGCCGTGGCACTAGTTCAACAGAATCACGAAGTTTCGGTTGATTCCTGTTTCTCAGTGCAGTTGCACTTAATAACGCTATGTGCGCCTTCTCAATACGACCAGTGAGACCCGCTTGTGGGAGGCCAGTCGTACCGATTCGCTAACGTCACTAGCACAAAACACTGTAAAACACTAGTTACTCGAAGGATCCAAAATTCTATGGTTCCCTGAACGTCTAAGGTATTATTAAGTAGAGTAGGATATAGAGTTGACGTAAACCACAATTTCTGTAATAAGTTGATGTATTAAGTTAAAAGTGTACAGTATATATTGAGTTCTTAGGTTTTCGCGATTCTTACACATAGGAAATGAAACTATTTTTCCGGATTTAAATCGCGTATATTTGTTTTTTCAAACAAACCGACGTCAACCGTGACCATGGGACCTGTAAAAAGACCCGGAACGTCGGTTTGTTTGAAAAAACCAATATACGCGATTTAAATCCGGAAAAATAGTTTCATTTCCTGAGTACACTTTACGTATGTTGTATAGTTTTCAATGCTTATCTGTGGCCGATCGCTAGTGAAGCGAGTTGTCTACTGCATTTTATGAGCATTTACACGTGCAATATGTAGGTTGTTAAGTTCGCAAAGTATTGTACGGTGCAAAAACCGTACAGTTTGGAATTAAGCTCGCGAACGTCGACATTTGAGATAAGGAATATTCCTGTAATGGACAACGAAACTACATCAGAGTTATTTAACCCTTAACTGTATGTATGTATAGTCGTGGAAAAAAATAACGCTTCTATAGTCATGGGTCCAATGAACACATGCATTTTGAAATGGTAATAAAATAAAGTATGATACATTTTTTATTCAAAGTATTATTTGAACTTTAACAAATGCTGTGTTGTATAAAATTAACGGTAGGAACATAATAATATATATCAATATCTATTTAAATCAGTCGCAATTTTCTTAATCTAAAACCAGGTCAATTAAAAACAATCAATAAAAATTTTACTAATGTCAAAATCCACAAACAACACTTTTTTTACATTTGAAAATATATTGTTTTACAAAAATGAAATAAAATTAAAAGTGTCTCCTGTAAAAAAAAATGGACACTAGTGCAATTTAGCCTAATTAAAAGCATGAATAGCACACAGTTTTTACAGATCATGTAAGGTTTACATAAAGATCATTTCAACTTTATTTTCATTAGATTTTCGCCATCAGATATTTCAGAACATTTCATGATCACTAATTCTGACAAAATCCTCGTCATTATCTGAAAACTGTTAGTCTGAATTTGAAGTTATACCATTGCGTGCAGATATAGAATTTTCGCCGATTTCTTACTCATCGCTGTCTAAATCAGTGTTCAACCATTGCTCTAATATGTCTTCTTGAATTAATAAGATACTTTTTCGATTCGCCTTGACTAGAAGTGAAATAAAAAACAAAAATGGATAAAATATGTCACACAAAGACCTTACGTATCTATAGTCGTAAATGTAAACCTACTCACGTTTGGAGCAGCGAGCAAAACACATCCACTGCACAATGTGCGCTTTAGCGTGACATTGGAAGGTACTGAGGAGTAGGAAGAGCTGCGTCGCCTACCGCGATTCCTACGCGAGTTTAAAGAACGAACTTGGGCCCATTAGACCCACGGCTATAGTTAAGGGTTAATATAGTGAGTTCTACAGGCAAAGCGCTGACCATTGAAATACAACAGTCTCAAATCCGCAACGTTTATCGACTTCCTAGCAAGCCTGGTAAAAATCGCCCAATCCCAATTAAGTTGAAAGTTCTACAAACTATACCTACGCATTTATAATAAAAATAGGTCTGTATCAGAGAAGCTAACCACCGAGGTGATTGGTTTAAAGTTTAAATCCTCCCCAATTTACATATCAGAATACCTGCCGGGAGCCACCAGAAAACTGTTTCATCAAACAAGAGAATTTACCAATATATCGGGTCACAAATTTTGTTGGGCCGTAAATGGTAAAATATATCCGCGAATAAGTGAAAATTCCAGCGCCATTAACCCTTTGCCGACCAAGGGACACCGGTGTCCCAAAAGTTAATCTACCCACAAAAAATATAATTTTAGTCTTTAAGTTTTCGCTTTATATGCTTTTCGTTCTTAGGTGTACCTTCATTCTTTTTTATTGTTTTGGACATTTAATTACTAAATTATTTCATTCCACAAATTAGTTGCTGAGTAAAGGTTTACGAGTTTCTATAGAAGATATCTTTGCAGTATCGTAAATACGCGAATCAGTGTCTATCAAGTTAACCTTTTGTGCTGAAAGAATTATCTGGTAAGTCAATTGTTTGCAAAAAAAAACTGTTTTATGAGCATATAATTACATTACTGAGAACTTTATGCGACGCCAACACCCAAAAATGTAAAGGTACACCGGTGTCCCTGTGGTCCGGAAAAGTTGTATTCGCCACCAAAACTCATGACTTTATAAAAATAATTTTTATACGTTTTCTATAGTTACCGATATTATTTATAATAGATCATGATACGGAAAGGTCGTGGAATCTTCGAACTCAATGAGGAGTCTGTTCGTCAAATTTTATTGGCCGATAATAGTGACGAAAAAGACGCATTGAAATTTGTTGACAACGTCCAGATTTTTTTGACTCAAGATGATGACAAAGGGGCTGCATATGTGGAAATTGAGGATTCTGTGGCTCAGCCCCAAGTAACAAAAACGTCGCAGTTACCTCAATTTTCAACATCGACGAAGTATACATAGACAACTTTTTCAATTCACCGATGTTACAATACGTGTTGATGAATTGTAACACGAAGTGTTGTGGCACTGTTCCCACTAA